GGATATTTACTTTTAGTTGTGGTAAGGTTGAGAAAATTTAAGACTTGTTCAGAACAAGGATTTAATAATGCAGCTTTAAGTGGGGATGTTATCGAGTAAGTAGTTGAGAGTCAGCACTACCCAGAAGGTGCTGCTGCCAGTGCCTGTGATCCTAGTCAAGTTACTTCACCAGAGCGTGTGAAAGAGGGTCTTTGTTTTTATCTTCTGGACACACACCCACCCACTCCCACATACCCTCTATACCATTTCCAAAGTTTCACAAAGATGAGCTTTGAGGGGTAGTCTTTTGGTGGAGGGAGTGGAGGTGATGAGAGCTCTTCCTCCGTTGTCTCCCGTCCACTTTTCCCTTAGGTTATTCAGTCTGAGGTCCCGCTGGTTGCTTTTCCATTAAAACTTAGGCCCAAGCAACAAACTTCTCAGGTCCTCTGAGGTAGGATGCATTTTCAAATAGTAAGAACAAAGAGAAAGAAAACCACTAGAGAAAATACAAAGAACATATAACTAGTAAGTGTTCACAGTTTACCTTTGGTAAGTGGGCTGGAACCACTTGGGGCCCCTTGCCTAGCTTCTCACCTCTTTCCCACCCATCTTATTCTCTACCACCTGGGACCTATCTCCTGACTCTTTTCCCCTCTCACTGAAACTTCTAGATTCAAGGCTCCAGACCCTCTTGGGTCCTCCTGTTTGTAGACTGAGGAACTCTACCTTCCCTAGGAAATGGTCAAGACTGTGCATATTCATACCATGTAGGTTTCACTTTTGGGGGAAGGTATCTCCACTACCCCAGCAAGAAGAAGTCTAATTTACTACAGATCCATCCTTCACATCAACCACTATACCACCTGTTACCAAACTGCACACATCAAGTAAAGAGAGGCTCATTCTTTCATGCTATGAACTGGCAAAGAACTTATTGTTAGAATCTATTTTGGCAAACAAAAAAGTTATATTTTTTTCCTTTCTCTGGATTAAATGGGGTTAGAGCAGGAATAATTTCTGTATTTCTTTGCAAAATGGCAGGGCTGCAGCTTCCAGAAGAGGATGGCGTACAGATGGAGGAGGTGGTCTGATCAGCCTTGTCTACAGGAAGAGGATGTGTTCAAGAGACTACCAAGAGAGAACTGACCCTCCAGTCTTCCTGGAGAGAATCCCACCATACCTAGCATCAGACACACATGCATGGGAAGGGTTGACCAGACTGTATATACCCTTCCCCAGAGTTGTCCCTCTTCAGGAAAAGACCACACATAAAAGCAGAGAACAAACTAAGCTCCTAATCTCAGCCCAGGATCTTTTCCATATTTTAGATATTTTATTTTGAAATTCAAAAGTGACAAGTCCATCCTTGGTTATAGGGCACTCTAAATATAATAGTCCTATATTCATGTTTGAAAGAAAAATCTACCTTCATTTTATGTGACTGCAGGATCTCCAACAACTATAGTATAACAGTCTGTCACAAGTGTATTGGATGTTTCAGTTTGCCAGACCTGTCATGATAAATTAATTACAGGATGTTGCAGAAATGGCAAAGCTCCAGCAGCATCTTGCATAGTTTAATATAGACCCATTTCCCCATTTCAATGTATTTGTGGTTAGATAAATCCTCAGAAATTTACAGCTGCTATAGACTAGTTTATTATGTACTCTGCCTGCACACATGATAAGTCTAACAAGAATGTGATGTTCTTAAATGGCATAGATTTTACTGATATTTCTTTACCGCCATGGAAATATTTAGCTGCTAAAAGTAGCATCTGCAGATACCTCTGAACTTTGTTCTGCATAATAGGCAGGGATGGTTAAAGACATTATTGTGTTTAACCATCTTTCATGTACCTTAAATTGAAGAATCGTAATTCAGAAAAAGTTATAGTGAGCATTTATATAGAACAGCCCTGTGAACAAATTTAATGTATAATTAACTTTTGATTCTCAGTTGAAATCACTGAGAAACCAAACTGAAGCTACCAAGCTCTTCTCCAGGGAACCTCCCTCATTTAGTCTCCTGACTGCCTTTTGCAAGCTTCAGTTGCTCATTTTTGCTCTGGGAATAAGTTATTTTCCTTGAGTTCATGCTTTTCCCCCCTTTTGGACCCTATTTTTTTCTTATCTTCATTAAGCAAATCATCTCTATCGCAACCAATTTTAAGAAATCATCCTTTGATTGGCGATATGAGTTTACTTTTGTAAATGTTGTGTCAACAAACCGTCTTCATATTTTATGTTCTTTCACAATTCTTGACAAGGCTCAAGTGATAGATGTAAGATGAAGAACAAAAGTAAAAATCATATTGTTAGATACTTCTAGAAATGACACTGAAATATATATAGTTGAACCATTCTGACCTAAGTGAATAAATGGAACATGAACTACATATGATGTGAGGGTACTTCAAAAAGTTCATGGAAAGATTTGTATTAGTATTTAATTCTATTTTTCCATGAACTTCGTAAGGTGTCCTCATGTATTTATGAACTCTCCTTTTTTAGATTGAAATTAAAATAGTAGATTCTTAGGAGCACTAGCCTCTGCAATTTTTTGAGACAAAAATAACCCATCCATAACCATTATGAATTCGAGGTGTTAGAAAAGTAAGTTTAGAAAACAGGGTGCTCACAACATATGCTTGATGTAGATTTGAAGGAGACCATTAGAAAAATAGCATTCTTTGTGTTTACAAAACAAATGTTTTTATGTTATCCAGTTCCCGCCTTAGCTTAAAGTATTTCCTATTCACCTTAATAATTAGAGCAGAAGGAAATGATGAATGAAGTGCCTCATTACCAAGTTTGCTTCCTGGGTCTCTGCAGAGAGTAGCTGTCTGCTTTTGCGAAGTTAGTCCATTGTTAACCCTAAATGATGCTGACATTCAATTCTCCTGCAGATAATTGGGTCCATCCATAGATTGAGTTCTCCAGTCAACACAGCTTTTTGATTGACATGCTTCTTGATGTTTTTATTATCTCTTATATGACTGAAAGGGCGCCTTTTCTGTTTCTTGAATAAAATGTTACTGTACATGTAATTACTTTGACTCTATAGAACCTATTTCTTAAGGAAACATAAGATTTATAGAATTATGGAGTAAAGATTTACTAAAATAATTGTGGGATAAGTGATCAGTTTTTTAAAATGAGTTTTCAGAGTTCATTTTCATTTTATGTAGGTCACTGTTGCATCACAGACATATTAGATGTTTCCAGTCCGAGTGTGGTTGCAGGAACATAAACTGCTTCTTTAATTACTCTTGCGTGTGTTGCAGTCTCCAACTGTTAGCATTCACTGGTTTACTCTCCACAGCAACTGAGATCCAGTACTTCAGACGTCTCTCAGTGGGGTCTGACGGACCTACTCTTACAGCTTGCGTTGACACTTACTGGCTGTGTGCACTAGGACAAGTTACTTAACTTTCAGATCCTTGGCTTCCTTATTTGTAGAATAGGGAAGACTTTATATACCTCATGGATTTGATGTTAACAGTTAATGAGGCCATGTATGTAACAAAGGGCAGATGTGGGGAATATTTTCTGTAGTTAAGTTCAATTAGGTAGAAATCAAGAAATATACAAGGGGTCTTCAAAAAGTTATGGAAGAATTCGTATTATCTCTTAATTCCATTTTTTCCACAAACTTTTTGAAGTACTCTCGTATAGCTTAAAAAATCTGGGTTTAAAAATGTTCCCATAATTTAATAGCTATGGCCTTCGGAAAGAAATCATTTGAATATATATTAAAGTATAAGGTCACAAATTTTTGTTATAGTTTCTAAAACTTTCTAATCCTCTTAAAAATATTTGTAAATTAAATATCTGACTAAAGAGATAACATGTCATAAGGGAATAAAATGGTTATTTCTCAGATATAGTCTTGCTGAACTTCTTAAAGAGAAAACATCTTTCTTTAATAAAACTTTCCTGTAACTTAAAAATAAACTTAAGGTCAAGTATTTGCTTTTATATGACAGAAACCTGTGCAAGATTCCAAAAGTAAAAAGTGTTAGCCATTTAAAAGCATTAATTTCATTTAAAATGTGCATTTTCAACATAACTGCATTCATGGTGTAAAATGTTTCATGTTTTAAATCTTTTAAAAACTTGATTTTTATTCTAGCTTTACAAATGCTGTTCATAGTATACTTTTTATACTAAAGGAACAATCTTCAAGATAGATTTGAATAAATAATTGGGAAATACATTTCTAAGAATGGTTTAAAAATATATAGAGAGGAAGTTTAAAATTGTTACTTGTTTGGAGAAAAGAGATGATGGGATAAAATTTAATAATTTCAGAATAAACTAACCAATTTGTTACGAAAAAAATGTACAGGGTCGGGCCGGCCCGGTGGCACACTGGATAAGTGCGCCGCTTGGGAAGCGCGGCGGAGCTCCCGCCCGAGGGTTCGGATCCCACATACAGACCGGTTCCTGCTCACTGGCTGAGCGAGGCGCGGGGGCAACACCGAGGGTTGCAATCCTGTTGCCGGTCCCCGGTCCGGTACGGGGGCAAAACTGAGGGTTGCGATCCGTTGCCGGACACGGAAAAAGACAAAAGAAAAAAAAAAAAAAAAAAAATGTACAGGGTCATAAATTGTCAAATGGATTCTGGTGTCTGATTTTCTGCTTGATTACAATCTGGACCTATTACTCCAAGAGTACTGTTATGGTCTTCCCCACCTCATCTCATCTTAAAGAGTGAAGTAAAGACATTTTATTAACCTATGTGCGAACAAACCCTAATCTTACTTTTATCAGCAGGATAAAGGAGAAAAGAACTCTGAGTAGAACAAACTTTTCCTGGTGTTTGCCTCAACTGTTATTTTTGTTTACAGTAACTGCAAGATAAAAATAACCCTATTTTTCATATGAACATTGAGATCTTAGCAAAGGCTTAGCTCCCCTGACATATTTCTTCATTTCTCTTGATTAAAGTATTTCTACAACCTGTTGAAATTCTTTGTATTAAAACCCAAATCAGAGCATCAACACATATCTCAAAATTATGAGCTGAAAGTGCAGAGACACATACATTTATTTTTAATTATCAAATGCATTCACAAATTCACAGAAACAACAAGTTTGTACAAGGGTTACTGTGGCTGGGTCCAGCTGTACCTGAAGCACAGATGTATGCATCCAGAACAATGAAAGCTCAGCGCTATCAGAACAGATATCTGTGCAGATGGCTGTGTGCTCTAGCAGTCATCAGTGCCACTCAACACTTTCAAAAATGCCTTTTTAAAAAAAGTTCTACACAGCAAGGGCATGTTTACCAATTTTTATGCCTCTACAACATGTGTAGGGATAAGAGCCAAATATATTTTTACTAGAAGCTATTCACATTGGGTATACATCTGGATGAAATTTACACCTCAGTGCCCAACACTTTTCTCACTTCTTATTTTAGTAGAATCAATTGTCTAATTTGGAAAATAAGTTTTTCTAATTTTATATTAGTTTTGACCTTCTTGGGGCTAAATATTTTATTAGACTTATCACATCGTAGAGAAAGAAGAGTCAAAAGACAAAAAAAAAAGGTCCCTATTATAATATCAAACTTTAAAACATATAGTCACATAGTAATGATACCATTATTCTGGAACTAAAAAAAATAATATAATGTAATAATTTAAAAACAAATATTAAGACTAAAATAAATATTAAATAATGTAAGTTTACAAATTACTTATATGCTTAAATATGAAGTGCTTTTTTCCAAAGTAAAGAAATTTGGAACACTGTTGCCAGTTCAGCCAAAAATCACTTTTAGTTTAGGTATATAAAGTTACATTTTATGCTTCATTCTAAAGAAACACAGAATTTGATTCTAAAAAGCAAACTGTTTTCTTTTTAATGCCTTTGTTACTGGAACCGCTTTGAATACACAATATTATAAAGCTGCTTATCTTTTAAATAAAGTTAATTACAAAAGCAGATACTTCATATTCTGAGCATAACATCACACATATAACCACATTACAGGTATAATATTAAATGATTACTTAACAGACGTCCTAACAATGCAAACAGATTTTATTCACGCTTGAGTAGCAATTAGGGTTTTTTCTTTATTGGTTTTTCAATACTGGTAATGTAATTTTGATGTAATTACTACTAACACAAGTGTCAACACTTAGACCAACAACAATCACAATGGTTAGTAATAATCTCAAAGGCCACATTGATTTTTCCACCCATATCTCGCTTCTGATTTTTCTGGATTCTTTCATAAGGACAAAAGTAGTGGGTCCTTCCTTTCTTCCTTAGTATCTGAAAATTCTGAACTCTTAAGAGAAATTCCATTCAGTTTAATTTCTCATTTCATCTCTGTGCACTTGGGTGTCTCTTCGTTCTTCTTACTAGAGAGAAAAGTACACAAAATGTACTAAATGAACTTGAACAATGTCTTCTGGCCACAACCAAATCTTAGTGTGCTCAGGCAACAGCACAGGTAATAAAAGATACTTTGCAAAACACACACACTCAACCAAATAAGACCAAAATACTAATTACCCATCTTCTGGTTTGACTCTTAAACATACTAACATCTCTTTGTATCATTAGTAATTGTGTACTGATTGACAAGTTAATATAAGCCAAAAAGAAATCTACTTCTCAAACACAGATACTAAGAACTCCAGCACTGACAAGTTAATATAAACCAAAGAGAAATCTACTTCTCAAACACAGACACTAAGAACTCCAAACCCTGAGTAACTTCCAGAAATTAAGAGCAGGCAATCAGAGTATGCAAAGTTCTTCATTCAACTGGAAAAAACCTGTCATGGGTGATGCTTCAGGGTTAGTAACTGGAAAGGATATAGACCATTTTATTAAACAGCATTATTTCATTTAGTATATGGCTGTGTCTACTTTTACAAATGAGCTATTATATTTTTCAAATCAATCCAAAAAATGGTTTGTTTCATTTTGGACTGACAAGATATTGATAGTTAACTATGCATCTAGACACAGCTTTGATATAAAACAAACTATATCATTAATGAAAATCAAGAACCAACAGGCAGATGAAACAAGAAGTGGCTTCCTTAAAGATCATGCAGTAGGCACACTACAACTAGTGAATTAGTAGGGTTAAACCTGAAATTTTTTATTTCAATTATCATAGATCACTGGTGAGTATCTGGACTCACACAAAAATGTTACTATCTTTCCTCTAAACAGAAAGGGCTTAACACCTGGTTGCCCTTAAAAAACAAACTGCAGCTTCAAAATGATGGCAATCTGGTTAAGGTCAAAGTCAACTCTATTGATTGCTCCGGAGAAAAGTGATAGCTGACACATTGTGGAAATAAAGGGCAGTGGCTAACCACTACCTAAGGGCTTTCTGTCGGGGCACAGGAGGGCTGAGGAACACCTGTGCTTTTAGGGGAGGCTCAATCTTAAATAAATCGTTGCACTGTCTTTTCATGTAAAAAAACATTTACACCTGAGGAGGAAAAATCCTTTGTCAGTCCACATTTCCTGATTTTAAACTTGTTAAACAGTGCTACCACAGGTAAGCTGGTATTATATATAGAATCCCCCAAATATATTCAAGTGAAGCTCATGAAAGCAACTGCAGTCGAGTATAAAATGGTACAGATATGGCATGCTGAAGTACAACATCACTAGGGGCAAAAAAAGTATCATTTCTGGCCCTGTGCGATACAGGGAAAGTATGTAAAACTTGCCCCAAATTAGAATCTGAAAAAAATGGGAAAGAAAGTAGTAAAGGCTCAAATGGCTGCTGGGCACAAGTCACAGAGAAACCCTATAAACTTCTGCAAAGGACAGTGAGGAGGGTAACAGAATCGTAGAGGAAGAACAAAGCAAAACAAGTGAGAGGAGTTCATAGTAGTGGTAGGACAAAAAAAGAAGAAGAAAAACAGAAAAGGGAAGGGGGGAGAAGGGGAGAAGAACAGCTGGAAATTAGTGAGATGAATCCTGCACGTGCAAAAGATGTAGGACAAGTTAAATCAATCAGGTGGAGACTGCACTGTGAGAAGTAAACAGAGAAACCAGGAGGACCCTCAGGAGAGGGAACCCAAAGAGAAATTTAACTCGAAAAAGCTGAAATAGGCAGCAAAGATAACATCTTTAAGGGAAATGATTCAGACTGAAAAGAGGAAGAAACACACTGGACGGAAAATGACAAAGACTGCGCATTAAAGAGAAAAGGGACGGCATCGAGGGAGAAGAGATGGTCAAGTGTACAACCCTGACAACTGGGAATTCTCATCTGACAACGGGAAAAGCAGAAGTGGCACACTGGCATGATGAACGTTGACAGACTAGGGACTTGAAAACTAAGAGACAGCTGAAATTTGCTGTAAGAGGGAAGAGAGGTCATCTAACTGAAGACGCAAGAATAAATCCAAATCCATTCCTTTTCTGAGCTATCTTCTCATAAAACATCCCCATAAATAGAGAACAAAGTTAGGGCCTTTTTTAAAGGCACTTCATATGAAAAGAGAAAGGAAAAATCTGTGTAGCAAGATTATAAAAATGAATATGAAACTAGGCTAGTATTTGTGTGTGTGTTATGTGTAAAAAATAAGATTCATGAAAATGCCAGGCCCTACCCAACAAGAAATTCAATCCAATAAATATTCACGGAAGGTTTATTTCTGTGGTCAGAACCAGGCTAAGTGCTGGGTAAAAAGTTTTGTGAGCATGTTATAGCCCCTTCCTATAAGCGCTGCAAGCACTTACCATCTAATCAGAGCTAACAGATAAAAAGCAATGTGTAACAGAAATAGTCCTGAACTTGGAGCCAGAAGATTAGCCCTCATTCAGGTACTTTGTAGCTATCACTCTAAGACCTTGGTTTCTTTAAGTGTAGAAAAAATAAACTATTAAAAATTTTCTGAAATTATTTTCATGTTGAAAAAAGTGATCAAGTAGTACATATATGCTGAATAGGAAAATTAGAAAATACACAAAGTAAAATAAAAGCAAAACTCACCACTCGGATAACAATTTTCTTTTTTTTACTTAAAAATTAATCATAAATATCTTTCCATGCCTATAAAAATACTTTCATTAACACAATGTATAATGACCACACAATACTCTATTATGTAACTGTTTCATAACTATTATTTTGTTGTTGTTGAACTTTTTTTTATTGGTTATGAATATTCATGAGATATAAGGCTGATTGTTGCCCCTCGTGCCCTAGATGTGAAGGCCAGATCTATACTGGCAGCATGCTCATTACCACAAATTGCTATTGTACCCTGTCTCCCCAACCCAATTATCCCTAATCTCTCTCCCCTCCCCCCCTCTCCACTTTCTATCCCTAGGTATGCTCTCTCCCTCTGCCAAGTCCAACGCACCACTGTGGTCCTTCCTTCCTTCCCTCTTTCTCTCTTAGCTCCCACTTATGAGTGAGGACATGCGGTATTTATCCCTCTGTGCTTTGCTTATTTCACTCAACATAAGTTTCTTCAAGCTCATCCATGTTCTTGCAAATGGGATTATTTCATTCTTTTTTATGGCAGAGTAGTATTCCATGGTGTATATATACCACAATTTCCTTATCCAATCATCCATTGATGGATATTTAGGTTGGTTCCATGTCTTAGCTACTGCGAACAGAGCTGCGATGAACATGGAAGTGCATGTATCCCTTCAACAGGATATTTTCCATTCCTCTGTGTATATACCCTGAAGTGGGATTGCTGGATCGTATGGAAGATCTATCTGTAGTTGTTTGAGAAACCTCCATACTGTTTTCTATAGTCGTTGTACTAATTTATAGTCCCACCAACAGTGCAGGAGTGTTCCCTTCTCTCTACATCCTTGCCAGCATTTGTTATTCATCATCATTTTGATTATAGCCACTCTAATTGGGATGAGGTGATATCTCAATGTGGTTTTAATCTGCATTTCCCTGATGATTAGTGATGCTGAGCATTTTTTCATGTACTTGGCCATTTGTATGTCTTCCTTTGAAAATGTCTATTCAGCTCCTTTGCCCATTTTTTAATTGGGTTGTTTTTTTACTGTGTAATTGCTTGAGTTCCATGTATATTATGGATATTAATCCTTTGTCAGATGCATAGTTAGCAAAAATTTTCTCCCACTGTGTAGGTTGTCATTTCACTCTTTTGGTTGTTTCCTTTGCTGTGCAGAAGATTTTTAGTTTGATATAGTCCTATTTGTTTATTTTTTCTTTTGTTGCTTGTGCTTTTGGGCTCATGTTCATAAAGACTGTGCCCAGACCCAGTTCCTAAAGTGTTTCACCTATACTTCCCCTTAGTAATTTTACAGTTTCAGGTCTTACGTTGCGCATCTCCGGTGGCCGCATGGGACCCCAACAGGTTTTTCCTTTCCCTAGAGGGTTGGGGCCAAAGGGATTGCCCTTTTCTCCCCCTGCAGGACGTGGGAGGAAAAGAGATTCCAAGAGATGGGTGAGCACGCCACTGCTCTCCCAGATAGGGAACAAACACATACACACGCAGCGGGGGTTCTGTCAGGCAGTTCCGCTTATTGTAACACAAAAGATCATATTTATATGCTTAGCAGGCAGGGATTTCTAAGCTTAGGCCAATCCTTGAAAAGGTCAAATGTGCACGTGCCTTGCCTCTCTATACTTAGCCCTCCCTCTTAACTTCCCTTGGGCGCCACCTTTTATCCATTTAGGCCATCTGTTGTTTTTGCTTAGAAAAAGGGCGCGGTCCCACAGTCTTATACTTAAGTCTTTAATCCATTTTGAGTTGGTTTTAGTATATGGTGAGAGGTGCATTTCTAGTTTCATTCTTCTGCATATGGATTTCCAATTTTCCCTGCACCACTTATTGAAGAGACAGTCTTTTCCCCAATGTAGATTTTTTGTTGCCTTTGTCCAATATCAGGTGGCTGTAGGCCTGAGGGGTGATTTCTGGGTTCTCAATTCTGCTTCACTGGTCTATTTTTATGCCAATACCATGCTGTTTTGGTTACTATAGCTTTGTAGTATAACTTGAAGTCAGGCAGTGTTATGCCTCTTGCTTAATTTTTTTTTCTCCAGACTGCTTTGGCTATTCGGGGCCTTTTGCTGTCCCATATGAATGCTAAGATTGCTTTTTCCATTTCTGTGAAGAATGTCCTTGGTATTTTGATTGGGATTGCACTCAATCTGTAGATTGCTTTGGGTAGTATAGACATTTTCAAAATGTTAATTCTTCCAATCCAAGAGCATGGAATCTTTCCATCTTTCTGTGTCTTCTTTAATTTCTTTCAGTAGTGGTATGTTGTTCTCATTGTAGAGCTCTTTCACCTCCTTGGTTAAACTGATCCCTAGGTATTTTATTTTTTTCATGACTACTGTAAATGGGCTTACTTTATTTCTCTATTAGTTCATTATTTGAGT